CATTCATCTAAATTATCAAGAATTTCACCTAAATACAAATGAATCAAATGAGAAACACTTTGAGCAAAATTATAACAAATGGCAAGGAAAATAAGTTTAAATGCAATGTGAAAATATGAACATTTAAGCTCGTATCATACACCAGAGATGATTTTACAGAGGATTGTAATTTATATATAATTTATAGAACAGAGAAATGAAATGGTTATAACTTAAGAGCTTTGTTAATTCAACAATTTATTGTTGTTTTCCCTTAATGGCTACTTCTCAACAAAGCAAACCCATTGTTGCAATAACATCAACAAAGTCATTGATGTTAGTATTTGGTTTTCCTCCCAAATGCTCTGGCGGGTCGGAGTGTGGGGGGCCCTTAGGGTTGGGGTTCAGCCTTTTGGAAGAATGTTAGTATTTGGTTTCTAAATAGATTTTCTTTTATATAACTGACGTTCAATGACTAAAATTGTAATATTTAAAAAGTTAAATCTTTTTTAATCAAATACAAAAACTTTCAAATAGACTCCGACAAATACATTGTATATTAGAACTTTCAAAGGTGATGGAGTTCCATGCTAATGAATGTTTTTTTTTTTTTTTTTTTTTTTTTGGGATCAAGGGAACCAGGGCAACCTAAAAAAAAAAAATAAAGAAAACTGAACTACATTATAACGTCCGGGGTGAACCACACAAAGATGATCGTCTTGAAGAATTTGCTGTAGAAGTTTGTACGGGGAAGTAAGTCAAGTAACCACTATAAGACCATTTAGTGAAAAGTATAGGTGTTTGCAAGGAAATCCACAACCCTATTTTACTATCTATAAAAGTGAAATAAAAGATTATTCCACTATTGATCTAAGTAAGTCAAGTAACCATACCTAGCCTTGCAAGAGATTAGCAAATTCACATTAAATCATCATTATTGAAAGAAAAAAAATCGTATATTTTTATAAAGCACAACAAGATAACTTCCTTCCCTTTGACATATATTTGTAGATAACTTGCACCATAAGATGAATTCAAACCAAAAAAGGGTTGTGTGCTAGTAGATTCAATTAGTAAGGATACTCGTGCTAACCATTAGTCTATTACACATCATTGAACTTAGAGAGTGTGAATCAAGGAGATGCATAAATTTAATTCAATAAAATTATAATAACATGCTTATATGTAAATGATTTTTGCTTTCTTTGATGCACGAGGAAAATTTAAAAGCTTTTGCATGATTTTAAACTCCTTATTATTGGAGTCAAACTTCTCCTAACGAATAATGACAACCTTCTGAAGTGCGGGAAAGCAAGCAAGTAGCATCATGATGAATCGCAACTCAGACCTCGACCCATTGAATGATCTAAGCTTCAAAGTGTGAAGCATTTTAAGCATTTTGGCTGCACTTCGAAGTCCCTCTCAAAGTATAGATTTAGAGATTTCTGCATCAAACTTAAAAAGAAAAAGAAAAAAAAAACACACACACACACACACAAAGCCTCAATCAATTCATCTTTTACACTAGTATAAGCTTGTATTAAGTAATGCGAAACAATAAGGGGATGTTTGGTTCATGGAAAATGTTTTCCAAAGGAAAACATTTTCCTTAAAGTGAAGGAAAATGTTGTTGGTTCATGGAATTCATTTTCCATTGGAAAATGAATTTCTCAAATTTGAGGAAAACAAAATCCTTGGTTGGACCAAAGATTTTGTTTTCCATGGAAGATGGGAAGAAAAAGTGAATAGATTGCCTATTTTACCCTTGCTTTCTTTTTTAATTATATTACTTTTATTAATTTGTAGGGGCATATATGTCTTTATACTCATTATTCCTTACAATTCCAAATCTAACCAAACAATAGAATTAGTATTCCCAGTAATTCTTTTTCCACCAACCAAACAATAAAATTCATCTTCCTAGTAATTGTTTTTCTATGGAATTCAATTTCCACGAACCAAACGAGCCCTAATAGAAACTAGGATTTCATTAAATAATTTATCAATGAAAATGAAGTTGCCGATAAACTCATATCGAGCTTGCGTAATTTTGGGCATATTTGTAATGAACGAATAAATGAAGAAAACTCATAATCATCTTGAAATTTGATATGTGATAACTCCGGGCATTCCATATTTAGTTCAGGTCCCCATTTAGTAAGTTCGCTGACAAAATGCTTGGAAATTAAAAAAAAATATATAAAAATTGATTAATTAGTTCTTAAAATATATTTCAAATAAATAATAGTCTGAAAAAAAAAAAAACATAAAGTGCAGTGACTAAGATACCTTGAAATTAAAATCCAAACAAAGAGTATGAATAATTGACAAGTCCAAGTCATAAGGGACAACAGGTTCATAACTCTGGATATCGTCTTCAATGCAATAATTGAGTGTTAAACTGCCAAGCCTGGGAGACTTAGGGGGCGTTTGGTTCAAGTTATATAACATAACCGAGGGAATGTGACATTCCAAAGCTCACATTCCAGTGTTTGGTTCATATTATATTAGGGAATCTAACATTCCCAAGGAATGTCACATTCCCTCCACATAAGATAACCTTGGTTATGTTAGTATATATATATATATATATATATATATATATATATATATATATATAATTATTTTGATAATTATATTTTATTTTTATTTTTATTATGTTATGTTAGCATATAAAATAATTTTGTTTCTCAAGTTCAAGATTTTAGTTAATATTTTAAAATCATGTAATTATATATGATACCGTTATCTTATTTATTTATTTTAATTTTTAAATTTATTAAAATATATAAAAATATGTTAAGATATTATAGTGTGTATAAAAGATAAAAGATAACCTTAAACCAAACATGATTATATTACATACCCCAATTTTAACCAAACACAGGTTCCCAGTAATCAAACATTCCCAGCAATCTAACATTCCCTAAGATAATCTGACATTCCGTGAACCAAACGACCCCTTAATGTTTAAATTTGACGTACCTTCACATCCGCTAAATGAGAGTGTCTCAAGCATAGGAATATCTCTAGCACAATTTAGATTAATAGTACCAATACTATCAAAGACAACGTTGTAAAAACTAAGTGAAGTGACATTCGGAAATATGCAAGGGGCATTTATTGTTGATGTAACTAATGCTTCCCTGATATCTAATCTCTTGAGAGTTGAGCAAGAAAATATGCAATCTGGAAGCCTGTAGTATACATTTGATGTATTAGTTGTAATGTTCATTTCTTCAACACCTTTTTGAGTGATAAAAAGGAACCATTGGTCGAAGTCAAAATTCCGAGAATTAGGCTCATCAGTGCTGAATGATACCTCACCCTCAAAATACAAGACAAATTTCCGAATAGGTCCATGATGCTGCATGAGAACTTTGTTGATTACATACAGGTTGATATGCTATTATAACTGCCCGAATATTTTTTCTCAACGTAAGCAAAGAACTGGTCATCGAAGTTAAGTTGTGTGAGATTGGACCAACAATCTCTCCAAATGGTAGACAAAATGGCAGCTCTAGCTGCTTCTACAATCGGCAATAATCCCAAAATATTGTCAAGTATTTCCGTAGAAAGTTGACTGATTTTATCTCTACTCCTCCCCGACATCATTTACATAACTTCAACATATGCAAATTAAAGAACAAATAAATTAAAATTAAAACAAAATCCAAAAATGAGTGTACTTGTTGATACTGTGATAATAATTAAATTGCAACACAAAAAGATGAGTACACCCGGGACAAATTATACCATGGACCAAAGTTTCTAAGAATTCAGTATATCAGTAATATCACAGTATATATGAAGTTAGTGTATGGGATTGAAAGGAAAGGCGGAAGTATGTATACATACCTAGCAGATTGGGTTTGAGAAAAGTCTGTGATCGGAAGAGCAAAGCTGAGAGAGGAATCGAGCGGCGAGCGGCGAACAGCCTCAAACCCCACAGAAAAAAAAAACTAAATATATATATATATATATATATATATATATATATATATATATATATATATAGGGAAGGGATCATGTGCATTTGTAGCTTCCCGTATATATATATATATATATATATATATATATATATATATATATATATATATATATATATATATTATATTAATTTTATTTTATAATATTTTTTATTTATTTGTATAATCTAAGGACATCCTCAATAGTTGTGATTAGAAAAGATATGATGAAAGGGAAGAGGAAAAAAAATATGGCATGAGCGGTGGAAAAGTTGCTTAGTCATTTACCGGGTGTTTGGTTGGGAAAAATGAATTAAGATGGAAATGAATTGTAATTGGTAGGGAAGAATAAAGTAGAAATTAAAATTATATTATTTGGTAGGGAGGAATAGAATTATTCGGAGTGAAAATGAAAATAGTGATGTAAAAACTAAAATATCCTTGTGTAATAATATTAATAATAATATTCAATGACAAATATGCCATTTTTTTTTACTTTTCCTTTTTTTTTTTTTTTTTTTTTTGTGGGGATGAATTGCAACAATTCATTTAATTTTAGGAATTGCAATTCCGACCAAATAAGGTAGTTTATCATTTTATTGAATTATATTATCGTTGAATTGTAATTCATGCCAACCAAACACCCCATTATTGTGTCATGCATGTGCGCTGGCAATGGATTTATTGTGTCCGCAAAATTTTGATTAATCTTCGAGACTTTGCTCGGCCGGTATATTTTCAACATCAAAACGATGCCGTTTTGATGTTGTACTGCTGTATATATATATGCAATATTTTTTTTCTTCGCATCCTATCAATAAAAACCCATATACTTAGTTTTTCATCTCAGCCAAAAAACCAATTATTATACGGTGGATCATGGTCAAAATAATAATAATAAAAATAATACGGAATAATAATACTAATAATAATATCTTCAAAAAATAATAATAATAATAATAATAATAATAATAATAATAATAATAGCTCCAAAAGTTATGAACAAACTACGAAACAAACCATGGCACATTGCGAAACTTATAGAGCATATCATTCATAGAAGAAAACAAAAGGATTTGAGTCCAATAGTAAAAATACAATAAGATGAAAATCATTTTTGCTTTTTCAAGACACGAGTGAAATTCAAAACCTCTTGCAAACTCTAGCAATGAACAATGGCACCCTTCTCGAGTGTTGAAACAAGAGCGCAGGAAAGCAAACAAATAATCCCTTGACAAAAAAATTTCATCCCTCCAGCATCATTGCGGAGAATTTTGTGTGTGTGCCAAAATAAGCCGTTTCTTCCAAAACATCGGGACAATGTCGTCACCAATAGGCTTCATTCCATCAACCTTCCAAAAAGAATTTGGGACAAAATTGCATTAGGGAATGCAAAACAATAAAAACAATCAGAACTTCAACAAACATATCACATGTTGCCACAAGATTGAGCACACACAGCAGCTGAATGGAATGCAGAGATTTTCATAGGAACTATTTCCAAAATAGAAACTTGTTTGTTCAATGGAAATATACTCACTAGACCATAATAATTTTCGTTTTTGTGGAGGCAAAGGGAAGATCCAAAAGCTCCAGCATAACTCCAGTAGAGTCCTTCTTGCAGTAACGTTTCTCACGAATAATGACAACCTTTTCAAGCGTTGAAAAACTGGCAAGTAGGTCCTTAATGAAAAGCGTTTCAGAACGTGACCCTTCAAATGAGATAAACTTCAAAGTACGGAGCATCTTATTTGTTTGAGCCGCAGCATGAAGTTCCAACAAGGTGTCCATACAATTAGTAAGCGATGATTCAAACTATAGACAAGCATCAAATACAGAGAAAAGAAAACTCAATCAGATCAACATTTACACAACAAATTTGTATTCGGAAATGAAAAAACAATACAGAAACAACTAAACTTTTCAGAGAACAAATGAATTATTTGTCCATGAATATGAAGATTACCCAGAATGAATTGATATCGAGTTTGCCTAACTTCGGGCATAATCGCAGCAAATGAACAAACACAGAAGATGATCCGTCACTTTTGGTATAGAATCCATGGTGACATGAAAGCTTAAGGTATTCCACATTTAGTTGAAATCCCATACTAGTGATTTCTTTAAAAAGTCCCTTGAAAATCAAATAGAAAGAAAGTGGAATCGTTTCCCTTTAAAAAAATTATAAATAAATAATAGTCAAATTAAAATAAATTAAAATAAAAAAGTATGGCTAAATACCTGGAGACGACCACCCAAATCAAGAGTAGAAATAGATCTCAAGTCCAAGCTAACCGGAAGAAATTTTCCCCTCACGGTAGATGAGCAATGTTCAATTGTTAAACTACATAGCTTTGGAGCAGTAATGTCAAAATGAAATATGTCATGACATTGGATAAAAGACAACTTCTCGAGTACAGGAACGTCAATAGCACAATCTAGACAATTTATAGGACCAAAGTCAACACATTCAAAACAAAGTGAAGCAACATTAGGCAATATGCAAGGGAACTTCATTGGTTCAACAACGACACCATAAAGATGCAATCTCTTAAGTGTTGAGCAAGAAAACACGCAGCCTGGCAACTTGTACGCTTCTTTGTCAAAACGAATGTAGATTTCTTCAACACCTTTCTTTGTGACAAAAAGTAACCATTGGTCAAAGTCATAAGACCGAGACCTAATTGCACGTATCCCAACATTATAAAAACTCAGAACAAATTTCCGAATAGTTCCATTGTGCAGCAGCAGAACTTTGTTGATCACGTATAAACTCACTGCTGATTTCTTGGCATACTTGATAGCATGTCGATGTTTTTTATACATATAACAAAAGAACTCATGATCAAAATTGAGTTGGGTAAGACTCAACCAAACATCTCTCCAAATGGAAGATAACACAGCGGTTTTAGCAGCATCTTTAATTGGCAAAAATCCCAAGATGTGGTCAAGTATATCCGCGGGAAGTTGACTGATTCTATCTCTCCCCCGTGCCATAATCCAATAACCTAAACCTATGAAAATTAACTAACAAATGAATCAAAATTTAAAACATAGTCCAAAAATGGGTTAAATTGGCCATAGTAATTAAATTGCAACTCTTAAACACAGACAGGTTTATAGGAATATGCCAAACATCATACATGGACTATGCAGAGTAGAAATGAGAAACAACGAATTCAAACCACACAAATTTCTAGAGTATTCAACTTTTGAAAACCTAAACTTTTGATCCCAAAATTTTAAAATCAGAACTTAATACACAAGAATGTGTACATAACATAAAAACATACATAGGGTTTGAGAAAAACCTGAATCCAAACGCCGAAAGAGGAGCAGCGGCGAAGGAGAACCGTTTGAGCAGCGGCGAAGGAGAACCGTTTGAGCAGCGCCGAAACAGAAGATTCAAAATTTAATTTCACTACCGTTGTATTATTGCCATATTTACTCTTTAATTTGATTATATTTAGCTCAATGCCTTTCTTGATATGGTCAAGTTTCATTTTTTTTTTTTTTTTTTTTTTTTTTTTAAAGGCGTTTCGTTCTCTATTACTCCGTACAATTTTTATCCTAATGACTTTAATTTTTAAGATAATTTGATAATTTGAATCATCTTATCCTATATCTAATAAAAATGCTAATAAGGCCCTTAGAATTGGGGTTCAACCTTTTGGAAGAATAAAAATACTAATAAATGACATGATAGATGATACTTCCTCCATCTTGTTTGTCTGATTTGCTTAAAGATGTTTGACTGAAGTTATTTTTAATTAAATTTTTCCTAATATTAAGTTCAATATTATAATATAAAATTTATATATTTAGAAATTAAATTAAAAGTAGTATTAAACACTCAAAAAATTAAATTTAAATATAATTAAATTATTAAAGAGAATAAGCAATGAAGAAAGAATTGATTTGACAATAAAATAGTAAATTGAACAGACAAAATGGAACAGAGAGTATAATATAATAAATTGTTGTACCAAGGACCTTGTAGTCCAATAGTACATGTTGCTTTCCTAAGTGGGAGGTGATAGGTTTGAGTCTTAGTGGAACCATTTGATGTAATTGGATATTCCCTACTTATATATATATATATATATATATATATATATATATATATATACACACACATATATATAAAATAAATTGTTGTTTATTATAAAAATAATGTTCAAGTAGTCCACCGAATAGCATGTTGTGATGCAATTATTATGCGCAGCAAATTATTGTGTGAATGGTTCAAAACATCGTCGTGAATATTACGTGTTAGACTAATGAACATTTGGGATAATATAATGTACATTATGTTTTAGAATAATGTATATTATATTTTAGAATAATGTACACTATGAATTATAAAAATATATATTGCAGTTGGATGCGAAAAAATAAAATGAAGCAAAATGACGTCGTTTTTATACTCCACAGTTGTGTGAACCATGGTCCAAGCAATAAATATTGGTTATGTGCCGTGAACCTTAAAAAGAACAATTGAATTCTTAAATTAACCAATTTCACAATCGTTATACCGTGCACCAGGGCGCACATAGCATTGTGCGCCACGCGCCTCCCAAAACGACGTCGTTTTGTTAAGTTGTTAAAAAAAAATCCTCCGTTTCGAATGCACATAAATTAATAACAGAATACACATAATCTAACATAATACATAATACACAAAACTTTTAACTGAATACACATAATGGGGTTTGCTTAACATAATACACATAAACTCTTAACTGAATACACATAAACTCATAACACAATACACATAAACTTTTAACTGAATATACATAATGGGGTTTGATTAACATAATACACATAAACTCTTAACTGAATACACATAAACTCATAACACAATACATATAAATTTTTAACTGAATACACATAAATTTTTTACTGAATACACATAATGAGGTTTGGTCTGTTCGGACGGACATAGTGATGTCAGCATGAAACGCGCGCGTTTTGTGCCTGGACGCACATTGCTATGTGCACCGTGGTGCACGATATAAATTGCCATACTGTGTAATTCCTTTAAGGGAAAATTGTAAAAAATGCCCCTCTATAATATGTCAATTATCAATGTCACCCCTGAATTATGAGTGGTGTAAATGTTGCCCCTCAATTATCAAAATGGCGCACATATAGCCCCTCCCTTAACGGACCTGTGGTTCCTCACCGCTGTCCATCGTTGGTACTTTGAATCGAGGGAGGGAAAAAACAACTAAGTTACATATTTACTCCGAATTAACGGTGTCGTACACTAACGGAAAACCACATGTCCGTTACGGGAGGGGCTATATGTGCACCGTTTTGATAATTGAAGGGCAATATTTACACCACTCATAATTCAGGGGTGACATTGATAATTGACATATTATAGAGGGGTATTTTTTACAATTTTCCCTTCCTTTAATTTTCGATAAAACCCTTTACTATCACGTTACTGAGCGCTATATAAAATTTTTAAAAAATACTAATTTTTAAATATATTTTAATAATGAGTTAATTTCATTTTTGGTCCTACATTTATAGGTGTCTATCCACTTTTAATTTTTTTTTACAAAACATCCTCCTTTGATCCGAGTATTATTGTGGCATTACCATTTTTGGTCTTTTATTAACAAAACAATTTAAATGTCGTTAAATACAAAGACATTTCAATTTTCAATTATGAATTTTTTCAAAAAAAAATAAACATACAAAATATAACGGGTCAACGCACTTTTATTAAACAAATTAAAATTTCTTTGTATTTAATGGTATTTCAACGATTATGTTGATGGGGGACTAACCACCTCTGTATGTCTCATGGCAACTCACTTCCATTCACTACTCGTGAATGAATTTGAATGTAAAAATTTCACCAACAATAAGGTGGTGTCTAAGCATAATTAGGCCTAATATATTAACAAGCTTTGAAATAAAATGTATATATAACTAGAGTGGTGTGATGAATTAAAAACCAAAAAAAAAACAAAAAAAAAAACAAAAAAAAAAAACAAAACAAAACAAAAGTAAGCTCCAAAAGTTATATACAAGTTAGCCATGTCACATTGCGAAAGTTATAAAGCATATCATTCATAGAAGAAAACAAAAGGGTTTGAGTCCAATACTAAAAATACAACAAGATTTTTGAAAGAAAATCATTTTTGCTTTTCTAAGACACGAGGAAAATTCAAAACCTCTTGCAAACTACGGGTATGAACAATGCCAACCTTCTCGAGTGTTAAAAAGAGAGTGCAAGAAAGCAAACAAGTAATGGCTTGACGAAAAATATTACATTATATCCTCGAGCCTCAGTGCGAAGAGTTTTGTGTGTGCACCAAACTAAGTTGTTACTTCCAAAACATCGGGACAATGTTGTCACCATTCGGCTTCATACCATCAACCTTCCAAAAATAATTTGGGACAAAATTGCATTAGGGAATGCAAAACAATACAAACAATCAGAACTTCACTAAATAATGTAGCTGTGAAAATGAATATTATCAATAAGCATATCTCAAGTTGCCACAAGATTGGGCACACACAACAACTGAATGGAATGTAGAGATTTTCATAGAAACCATTTCCAAAATCAAAACCTGTTTGTTCAATGGAAATATACTCACTAGACAATAATAATTTTCGTTTTTGTGGAGGCAAAGGGAAGATCCAAAAGCTCCTGCATAATTCCAGTAGAGTCCTTTTTGCAGTGATATTTGTCACGAACAATAACAACTTTTTCAAGTGTTGAAAAACTAGCAAGTAGCTTCTTAATGAAAAACGTTTCAGAATGTGACCCTTTAAATGGGATAAACTTCAAAGCATGGAGCTTCTTATTTGTTTGAGACACAACATGAAGTTCCAAAAAGGCGTCCATACGTTCAGTAGCTACTGAATTGAGGTTATTGAGCAATCATTATTGTGTGGACCATGCTTCACATAAGTTGTATAGACCATATTTTGTATACTGTAAAACAATGTACATTCAATACAAAATTAATGTACATTTAGTACAAAATAATGTACATTATATTCAGAGAATGTACATTATTTTTATACTGAGTGTACATTATATTGTAAATGTACATACAGTACAAAAATAATGTACATTTAGTATATTAAAAATATACTTTTTGTTATGGTCCACATAACACTGTGTGAACCTTGGTCCACACAATAATTTACCGTTATTGAGCTATAAACAAGCATCAAATACAGAGAAAAGAAAACTCAATAAAATCAACATTTACACAATTTTATCCAGAAATCCAAAACAATATGAAAATGAACAAATGAACTATATATCAATGAATATGAAGATTACCCCAAATAAATTGATAACCAGTTTGCGTAACTTAGGGCATAATCGCAGCACATGAGCAAGCAGAGAAGATGATCTATCACTTTGGGTATAAAATTCTTCGAAACGTGAAAGCTTAAGGTATTTCACATTTAGTCGAAATCCCTTCCTCGTGAATTCTTTAACAAATCCCTTAAAAATCAAATAGAAAGAAAGTAGAATCAATTCGTTTAAAAGAATTTAGGTTAAAGTGTCATTCTCCACCATGAACTATATCGAATTATTCATGCCGCACTCTGAACTTTCATAAGGTTCATTTAAGTTCACAAACCAATAATTTTTTTTCGCCTAGAACTTTTTGCAGGTTACCCAGTTACCATGATGACATAGCACCAGTTATTTGCTGATGTGTACTTTATTTTGTTTTGTAGTGGATATTCCTAAATAAATCATTTTAGACTGGTTTCTTCATCAAGAACAAACTTTCGCTGGGCGATTACGCTTGATTTTTTTCTCGTTCTTGCTCAATAATTTGACGGCGACGTGCGCGGCGGAGGAGACCAGAAGACTTCATGGCCTCATGGGGCATATGGCCATTGGAGAACAAGTTGAGAGGTAAGTTATATAAAGGGAGGGAGGACGAAGATGGTACATGGATCTGCAGGCAAACCATTTGTTGCGGCGGCTTCCACTTCCGACGGTGGCTTCATTCGCCGGGCGGCAGCTCTTCCTCATGCAGTGGCAATCTTTCGTAGGTTGCATGGACGATATTCATGCAATGATGGAAATATTCATGCTAAATAGTTCTATCAGAATGGTTAGACAAGGTTTCATACTTTCATTAAGCACGGGGGAGCTAAAGGTGTTTATGCACATTTTTAAGCACCCAGAGCTTGCCTTAAAAAACAAAATCAACAAAAAAAAAAAAAAGAAGAAGTTTCTATTGATAAGTAAGCACAAAATGAAATGAGTAAATACTCATCTGAGTGTAAAATAATTATCCAATAAACTGCTTCAGGCGTATAATATATATATATATATATATATATATATATATATATATATATATATATATATATCAAAGTGCAAAATGGCAACTTTATGAATCTGAAATGTACTTTTTGCCAAGGAAATGATATATACCATTAAACCCCCAAAAATATCCCAATTTATGTGTATCTACATGAGATCTAAGCATCTAATTAAATAAACCTCAACTAGGACTAGGACATTTTTACCCAGGAAACAATGTTGTCATTAAGGGAAACAATGAATAATCCGATATAGTTCAGGGTGCGAAATGACACTTTAGCCAAGAATTTATAAATACACAATAGTCAGATCAACAAAAGTTATGGCTAAATACCTGGACCAATAGTTATGCTGTGCAACCGAATGTACCATGCGCATGGTGCATACGGTTCAAAACGACGTCGTTTTGACAAAAACGTGCGTCCCACTTTAAAAAAAAAAAATCAGGTTCGATTCTCAGCAATAGCATTATTGTGGATATATAGTTATGAATTTCTGGATATATAGTTATACATTTGTGGATATATAGTTATGAATTTATGGATATTTAGTTCATTCATTGTGGATATTTAGTTCATTCATTGTAGATATATTTACTTCATTCATTCACTGTGGATATATAGTTATGAATTTCTGGATATATAGTTATGAATTTATGGATATTTAGTTCATTCATTGTGGATATTTAGTTCAATCATATCATATATTGTGGATATTTAGTTCATTCATTGTGGAATTTTACTTCATTCATTCATTCATTGTGGATTTTTACTTCATTCATTCATTCATTCATTGTGGATTTTTACTTCATTCATTCACTGTGGATATATAGTTATGAAATTGTGGATATATAGTTATGAATTTCTGGATATATAGTTATGAATTTCTGGATATATAAAAATGCTATTGCCGGGAATCGAACCTGATTTCTTCTTTAAGTGGGACGCGCATTTTTTTAACCAAAACGGCGCCGTTTTGCAACCGTATGCACCTTGCAAGGTGCATTCGGTTGCACAGCATAATTTGCGATACCCGGACATAACCACCCAAATCAAGAGTAGAAATAGATCTCAAGTCCAAGTTAGCAGGGAGAATTTTGCCCAACCCGTTAGATGAGCAAGATTTGATTGTTAAACTACGCAGCTTTGGAGCAGTAATGTCAAAATAAAATGTATTTTTACACCTGATAAATGACAACTTCTCGAGTGCAGGAACATCGTCAATAGCACAATCTAGACAATTTATAGGATCAAAGTCAACCCATTCAAAACAGAGTGAAGCAACATTAGGTAATATGCAAGGGAAATTGATTGGATTAACAATGACATAATTAAGATGCAATCTCTTAAGTGTTGAGCAAGAAAATATGCAGCCTCGCAACCGGTATGCTTTTTCCTCAAAACTAATGTAGATTTCTTCAACACTTTTCTGTGTGACTAAAAGTAACCATTGGTAGAAGTCGTAAGACCGAGACCTAATTGCAAGTATCCCAACATTATAAAAACAGAGAACAAATTTCCGAATTGTTCCTTTGTGTAGCAAGAGAACTTTGTTGATCACGTATAAACTCGCAGCTAATTTCCTGACATAGTTGTTAACACGGCGATATTTATTATTAATATATCAAAAGAACCCACGATCAAAATTGAGTGAAGTAAGACTAATCTAAACATCTCTCCAAATGGAAGATAATACAGCGGTTTTAGCAGCATCTTCAATTGGCAAGTGCCATAATCCAATAACCTTAACCTATACAAATTAACTAACAAATGAATCAAAATTTAAAACATAGTCCAAACTCCAAAATGGGCTAACTTGGCCATAATAATAAAATTGCCGGTCTTAAACACAGACAGGTTTATAGGAATATGCCAAACATCATACATGGACTATGCAGAGTATAAATAAGAAACAACGAATTCAAAACAAACAAATTTCTAGCATTCAAACTTTGTAAACCTACATTTTTTATCCCAAAATTTTAAAATCAAAACTTAATCCACGTTGCTTTAAAATCCAGATGAATGTATACGCACATATGACATCAATCGTTATGCGTTGGACCCGTGTCCAGCATGCTTGCCGGACACGGGTAACAGTGCCGTTAGGCACTGTTATCTTTTTTTTTTTTTTTTTTTTTTTAAATTTCAGACCGCTTCGTTATAGGAGTATATGTTCATAATTTTATTACTATATGTTAATAACTGTACGTTCATAACTCTATAACTGTACATTCATAACTCCATAATTGTACATTCATAACTCCATAACTGTACATTCATAACTCCATAATTGTACATTCATAATTTTCGAAGCTCTATGTTCACAATTTTAGAGCTCTATGTTCATAATTTTATCACTATATGTTCATAATTGTAAGTTCATAATGTTAGAGCTCTTTGTACATAATTCGATCAATAACTGTACATTCATAATTCCATACTGTAGATTTATAATCTCATAACTGTAAATTCATAACTCTATAACTGTAGATTCATAACTCTATAACTGTACATTCATAACTCCATAACTGTACATTCATAATCTTCGAAGCTCTATATTCACAATTTTAAAGCTCCATGGTCATAATTTTATCACTATATATGTTCATAATTGTAAGTTTATAATGTTAGAGCTTTGTGTTCATAATTTCATAATTGCATAACTGTACATTCATAACGGCATAACTGTACATTCATAATCCAAAAAAAAATAACGCCGTTAACGACAAAACGCGCGCGAATTTTTTTTTTTTTTTTTTTTTTATAACTAAATGACGCATTTTTTTTTGAAAAACGACGTCATTTTGGGCCCGTGTCCACAATTCAGTGTGGACACGGGTCCAGGGCATAATTTGCCCATATGACATACATACATACAATCAAACACACAACAGAAAATAAATTGGGTTTGGATTATAGAAATAATGTTCAAATAGTCCACCAAATTGCATGTCGTAATGCAATTGTTATGTGCCAATGATACCATCTCCAATTAAAAATATCAAATTCTGCACCAAATTTTACACCAAAATAAATATTCTCAGCTTATTCGTACACCAAATTTTTTTCATCTCCAACCCATTTATACCAAATTTTATTTCATCTCCAATCCATTTACCCCAAATTCTATCCATACACTAAAATAATTTTTATTCTTATAATTTAAAACTTTAATTTTGTTTACTTTAATTATTTTAATATAAAATATAATTTTGATATAAATAATAATATTTTAAAATAAAATTTATGTTTTTATGTATTTTAATTATTTTATATTCGATATTGATCTCATTTTAGACGTCTCAATGAGATCTTTAAATCTTAATAATTTATTTATAATAATATAAAATTTTAAAATGAAACAATTAGCAAAAAAGAAATTTATAAAGTTCCACACCAAAACGGTGTAAATGAATAGTGTTACACCATATTTGGTGTAACACTATTCACTTACACCATTTTAGTGTATGATTTTGTGTCTTCATTGGAGCTAGGTTGCACCAAATTTTTACACTAAAATGGTATTTTGGTGCCTTCATTGGAGATGGCATGAACCTTTAAAAAGTGAAATTGGATTTTTAAATTAACCAATTTCCTGCATTTCGTCTAATTTTTGGTAAAACCCTTTACTATACGGTTACTAAACGTCACATAAAATTTTTTAATTTTTAAATATATTTTAATATATTAAAATTAATTTTTTTAAATAATAATTTAAATTAAAAAAAAAAAAAAAAAAAAAAACCTCCCATCCACCGATATGTCTCTAGCCAATCAAAGAGTACTATCTTCGTCTATTTGTTTTTTTTTTTTAAAGATTTGGAGAACTGTCTTCGTCTATTTGTTTAAAAAAAAAAAAAAATTTGAGAACTCCGAACGTCAAGCAAAGCATATCAGTCAAATTCTCGGCATCGTCTAGAGTGAGCATCCCCCAACCAATGTCCTGGCCGAGGTTAGCAAGCCAATTAGCGCATTCGCGAAATCGATGCAATCTTTGACCAGAGTCCCAACCGTCTCTTCCCCCAACCATTCATGATAGACACTACGACAGCTGAATAAATATCAATCCAAACCTTAACAAACCCCTCATCTGTTTGTGTATGAGTCGAGGGAATAGCCTTCTTCTAAATTTGTGTCTGAGCGGAGAGAGTATTTGCC